TGGTATTTATTTTTTCCTGTATACTTAAAAAATGTTCTCTAGGCATCAGCTCATAACCTCATATTTTAATAGCCTATCTTTGTTAACATCCAACTTTAATATCTGAAGCCAAGTGGGCTCTGGGTGTATTCACAGGAGGAAAATACCTTCCCTTGCAACTTTATATGAAAGAGTATTTTCTATCTTGTTTATCAGGTTGTGATATGTGTGAATTCATTATTTATTTTGTCCTAACTTTAAATGTTTGAGGAATTATTTTTTGTGAGAGGTAGGGAGGGAGGTGGTTCTTAAGAGGATGGGCAGTGAGTAGGAAGAGCAACAAGATGATGAAAAAAGATTATGTGCTTCCAAATGCTTTCCCAGGCTAAAGCAGGATTGACAGAGCCCAATATATGTGCCCTTATGCTTTAAAAGAATCCTTTAATCAACTCTGGTGGTAAAGGTAGATAAGCCGACTTGAATGTAGCTACATTCTCATGGGCACTCAGTAAAGAATTTTAAATTAATGAAACTCAAAGCAAAAAGATGACTCAGCACTGGCTCCAGTGTCAGTTCTGCACAGGTGACATGGCTTTGCATGGGGAATGCCTTCTAAGCCATAAAAAATGACAGCAAAACCATGCGAGTAATAACTTAAATGACTTTCATGCATATATTTCAGTTGTTTATTTAATTCCTACTAAGTACAATTGGAAAGTGTTTTAATTGAGAATATTTACTTGATTGTCTCTCAAATTATCTAATTTGTTGTGTCATTTTTGTCTGTGTGGGAAGGGCACATATGTATATGTGTTTACATGGTGTAGGAGGCCCTTCTGTATTTGTGTTGCTTTCATTGGTTATTACAGAAACTGCCTTGCCTAGTTGATAGTGTGGATCTCAGGTAGATAGGGAAGTCAGAACAGAATGCTGAGAAGAAGAGCAGAGTCAGGCAGACGCCATGAAGCTCCGGCCTGAGACGGATGTAGGTTAGAATCTTTCCTGGTAAGCCACGACCTCCTGGTGCTACACAAATTATTAGAAATGGGTTAAATCAAGATGTGAGATTTGGCCAAGAAGTGGCTAGATATAATGGGCCAGGCAGTAATTTAATTAACACAATTTCTTTGTGATTATTTCGGGGGTTAAGCTAGCTGGGAGGTCAGGAGCCAGGCGGCCAGAACAAAAGGACCCGTGCCTCATACAACATTTTCATGTGTGCAGGAGCATCTGTGTGTACATGTAGAGTGATGAAGCTGATGCTGAGTATTTACTTGATCATTCTCTACTTTGTGTACTGAGGCTGTGTTGCTTGCCAAGCAGAATGCTCCAATTCTGGCCAGATTAGACAATCAGATTGCGCTCTGGACTCCCTATTTCTGCTTGCCATGTGCTGGGGTCAGATGTGGCCAAATCTCTTGCCCAGCTTTTTCTTGGCAAGAGATCTTCCTTGGGTGCAAGAGATCTAAACTCTACTTCACATTGGGCAACAAGAACTATACCTACTGGAGTTTCATCAGTCCAAGACATACATTTTCAAGACTTCTATAAGATTATACAGTCTCTGATAGGAAACTCCACAGCATAAAGAGCATTTCACTACAAAATGACCTTTCTCTAGTGATTGCAGTCACAGCTGTTTTGTGACTGATATGTCATTAAGGGGCATGCATTTACAGACGGGCTTTGCTTCTGTGATTCAAGCTTGTCCCCAGACTATCAATAGCAATTCCTTCGGAGTAGCTCAAAAAGTAGTTTCTTTTTTTAATTCTTTTATTTGCAGGAGGAGTTGAGACAAAAACTTAAGAGTATTTTTCTTTTTTCTCCTAAACATGAATCATCCAAGTTAAACCAACATAACTATATAAATTAGCAAAGTAAGGGGAAAGTACTATGAAAATTTGTCATCATCTGCCTTCCTCTTCAGGAACAGCTTAGCAATATGCCCTCAAAAACTGTGTAATCTACCGTAACATGTCTGTAAGACTCTTCTTATTCAAAATCTTTTTTGATAGGTAAAATTTTCCACTTGATGGGATCTAAAATCATACAAAAAAGAATGGTCTGGGAATGTCTATGAGTGAGTTTCTAGATTAGATTAAATAACGTACCCAAAATATTTCCATAGGCTTGGGTCTGGGACTGAACCAAAGGGGAAAATAACAACAACAACAACAAAAAAAAAACTGAGCACTAACATCAACATCTTTCTGCTTCCTGATTGCGGATACCATGTGACAAGCCACCTCACATCTCTGTTGCCAAGGAGTCCTATCAGGATGGACTGTATCTTTTCAAACTTTGAACCAAGATTACTCAGCATAAAGAAAGAAGAGTTTACTTTGTCCCATAGTTTAAGGGTATAGTCCATCCTGGTGGGAAAGGTAGGGAGGTAGCTGATCCTGCATTTATGGGCAGGAAGCTGAAAGAGATAAATTCTGGGGCTCAGATCCCTTCTGCCTTTTAGTTCAGTCCTGGATAGGGCCCATCAAATAGTGCTGTCCAAGCTCAGGGTGGATCTTGCCAGAAAAAGATCTTTTCTGAAAATCTCCTCATAGATAGTTAGTGACAGCTTTCCACAATGAGTCTAAGTCCAATCAGGCTGACAAGAAGATGACAGCGAAGAGTAAGAAGCAAGAATAGTGAGTGGGTGCACATGACTGATGTATAAGAAATTGTCAAAGACTTAAAAAAAGATTAACCATGACAATAATCTACCTTTAACTGCCCATTTAACAGTCCTCCTTGGAGGCATTTTTCAATTCCTGAAAATATTTCAAAATGGTAAATGGGCTTTGAGAATAACATGCAATATATTTTTGACAAACAATGCATTTGTGATACAATCATTCCTATTAAGTAGTCACTGAATGAACAATATAATAACTAGGTACATAAAAGTAACATTTTAAGTAAAAATTGATAAAACAATGTAGTTGGAACAAATAGATTTAATGGGAGGTGGCCAGAAGAGAGAGTAATTTAACATGCAAAATAGTGGAAACAAGAGCACAGGGCAGCTGGATAGAAGACTTAGTTGCTAAGAGCTCTTTCTAGAGGAGGAGAATTCCATTGTCAATGCTCACATTTCCATGACTCACAGTTGCTTAAAATTCCAGCTCTGGGGGATCTGATGCCTTCCTCTTCCCTCGCATGCACATGCACACACATGATAAACACACACAGGGATAAACAAATTCAACAGGGGGATAACTAGGAGTGGAAGGGTGCCAGCTATAGAGGTAAACAGGCACAGGGGAGGATAGCGGGAAAGGGAATTAATAAGAACAAAGTATAATAACATAGGTCTGAAAACACAGGGTGAGACTAATTACTTAGGATTCTAGACTAAAAATAATCATTTAAAAGTAGCTGGGCAGTGGTGGCACAATCAATCCTTTAATCACAGCACTCAGAAGACAGAGGGAGGTGGATCTCTGTGAGTTTGAGGCCAGTCTGGTCTACAGAGTGAGTTATAGGATAGATAGGACTATATCACAGAGAAACACTGTCTCAAAAAAACAAATACTATTACTACTAGTAGTAATAGTAATAATAATAATAATACGGCTGAGAAGATGGCTCATTTGGATAAACTGCTTTCTAAACAAGGTCAGTAACCTGAATTCAGTCCTCAGAACCCACAGATAAATGGAAGAATGGAATCAACTTCATAAAGTTGTCCTTTGACTTCCACTCCCATGCTGTGGCATGGACCCCAACCCCAGGCACTAATAATAAATTTTTAACTTAAAATAAATAAAGAAAAAGTAAGCAAAATCAACAAAAAAGCATTCAACTCTTATCCATTACCCAGTACAAAAGTGAGGTGTGTGAAATCCTGTATATAAACTATTTGAACAAAGAATTTACAAAAAAATGCCAATCCTTCCTATTTCTTAACTGAAGATTGATATCCATTCATTAACCTATTTTTGAGGTTTTCTCTAAATGCCAGATGCAATAAGGAAGTATGTTAAGACAAATGTGCTTATTAGTTCTTTGAAAAACCTTTTGTCTCCTGAACATCCTGAGAACACTCATTAAACCTATCTTGCAAGGTGATTTAATTAAATTTGAAATTAAATACTAGAATACTTGGAAATTAATTCTTCTATAATTTGCAAGA